AAACCGGTTTACTTGAGCCTCAAACTGCTTCAAGGATTGACAAATCCGTTCTTCCTGGACCATCGTCATCGAACTGCACTACAGCAATCATGGATTCATCAGAGATTTGTCACAGTATTTCTGTAGTCACTGAGCCGTGCATTGACATTAGCAGTTTATTGACACCAACAAAATCATTTGATGAAAAATATCAAGCTATTAGTAATCTATCAAATACTGAAAAGTATTCCTTTCTTTATAAACTTGGGGCACCACCTAAAGCTTTTCCTACCACCTTTTCTCATGGGTGTAACCGCAAGTTTAAAATAGCTTGACTTGAAAAATACTCATGGTTATTATACAGCCCAAAATTGGATGGCATTTTTTGTGATCCTTATGCTAACCTTCTTCCAGTGTATAGTCGACGTGATAAAATAGCACTTATTAACAAAACATTTAATAACCAGATAAAAATTAGCGATACTTTAAGCAATCATTCTAAACTTGTTTATCATCGTGATTCTATTCAGGCTGCTAATGCTTTGAAGGCTTCCATTGAATATCCATCATCCTGTAAAATTGATATTATTACCAACAGTGCCCTTCAGTCGCGTATAATTCAGAATAAACATATTTTTCGTCAAACTGTCAAATTGTTCGTACCATTCTGCTTTGAGGAAAACAAGGCTTGGCATTTCGTGGCGATACTTAAGATGTAAATTCTTCTAAATATCCTGGCAATATTCTGGCCTTGCTGAAACATTATGCTGAAAATGATGAAATACTGAAAGCTCATTTGTATCATTCCAAGGCAAAAAATGCTACATGACACCATCAATGTCATGGGATATGATGTAATTCGAGTAAACATTACTGATGAAGTAAAAAAGGGTGGATTATATTCTGTTCTTGCTGGTGAAGTGTCTTCTCATAATGTGGAACATTTACCAATATGTATCCGCTTTATAGATAACAACTGTGAAATTAGGGAGGAATTTATTGGCTTTATTAAGCTACAGAGGGTCAGAGCAACAGATAGATATTGTATGTGCAATTACAAAGATATTGAATGATGTTGGATTATCTCTAAATGAATTGCGTCTTTAAGGATATGATGTAGCATTCACCATGGCTGGCTATGCAAAGGAAGACCTTGTACACTCATTGCGGAATCAGTCACTTAATCTTGTTCAGTTCCACCATTGTGAAATTGTATCGATCAAGTGGAAGGAATAACTATTTGGATTAAATCCTCACCTAAATGTGGGGAATTATTAAAGGCAATCTATGAAAACGACATCCAGCAAGGAGCAACTTCACCACGTCTTCCACTACTCGATGTATGCATTATACGCTGGGTTGAGAATATTGAAGGTTGGGAAAGGTTCAGTTTATGTCTTTCACTCTTACATTATATGTATGAGATTATTGTGTATGGAGATGATTATCATTTTACATGTTTAATGACAATTAGGCTGCTGAAGATGAAAAATTGTTATCTAAAAATTCTGGAATCCTTCGAATTCATTTTTTACTTATTGGCTTTACAACGTTCCCTTTACTACTTGAAAAAAGCTTCTGTAAATTTGCAAGGTCCAAGGCAAGACATTGTTTCTAGTGTTTTCCTAATAGAGCAATGCTGTAAAGAACTGACTTCACTAAGGGTGAAGGTAGATGATAATTCACATCGTAACTTCAAGCACACTAGTAATACTGTAAACAAATCTAATATTAATGTTATCATGCGATGAGTTAGTCAACGACAAACTTAACGTACAAATGCAGAATATAGTTCCGTGGAGGATTACTTTAAGAAAACAGTAACCATTTCATTTCTTGTCCACATTATCAGTAATCTTTCCTCCAGATTTGTTGCACGTGTAAAACAAGCAGCATCAATTCAAAAACTCATGACATAAAAACTCACACAAGAGTTTTCTATTTTTGATATCAGACAGGCCAAAGGTTTTTACAGGGAAAGATTTTCCAAATCCTGATATTTTTGACAAACTTGATCGATGGAAGACAATATGGTTTTCTATACAACTTCAGGACAGGCACAAATGCTAGCTGACTGCTTAAAAGTGTGCTTCAGTGTACTAAATATCTTTATGTTACTGAAACTCTTTGCCACACTGCCACAAAGTTCATGTTCATGTAAACGTTCGGCATCTGCTCTACGCTGGTTGAATGGGTTCATAAGTTCAACAAAGACTGAGTGCTCTAGCTTTAATACATAATCATTATGACACTGCTATCAACATTGAAACTGAATGTAAGTTATTTACAGAATATCACCCCAGAAAAATGGAGCATGCTAACATGTTATTTCAGTAGTGCATATATGTACATATATGATAGCCAATGATTGAAATAGCTCATATACTATTGGTGTACAAAGTTATTCAAATTAGTAATATAATTTGATAATTAATAACTACTCTGCACGTAGATAGCACAGTATTTTACTATAATAAAACATACATATTTATGTTAATTTAAGTCTAGCTCCCCATGTAGTATCACAGCAGAATGATGATTTGTTGGCTTTTCATTGGATGTTTGTGGATTTTACGTGAACAGTCATGCAATTGTTTAAGCTATATTTCGTGCAAAATTGTTTCCAGATTTAATCTCATAGCACCTATTTTTAAAAATTTTCTGGGGGGGGGGGCATGTCCCAAAACCCCCGTAGCATTAGCATGTTTTGCATGCTGATTGTGCTTCGTACAATATGTGTTGGTTTTTGATCTCATAAATTAGACCCCCCCCTTCAAACATTCTGCATATGGGCCTGTCTATTGTTAAAAAAAGTATTATTCACATACCTGTAACATGGACGAATCAATCAGCATTAAGCCTGAAGAAATTAAAGAAAATAATTGATTAATAACAATTAAATGTAATTTTACTTTAATTGTAGTTATAAGAAAAACAATTTACTGTTTTGTATAGCTACATGGTTGATAAATATTGTTTTAGAAACAAAATGGGAGGGCAAATAGACAAATATATTAACACAAAGAAAGAACCTCAGACCTTCTTGTTTCTGAAAACAGTACATTAACGCCTCTAATAAAATGTTCATCTTTACTTCAAGCTGTATAATCACGGAATTTTATCTAATTGTTCCGGATTATTGTCACTTTTAACTGTAAGAAATATATATATATATATATATAAAGAGCTAACAACAAAACAGGTGTATAGAAGTGTGTGAAAATTCATCCACTAAAATTGAACTGTAGAACTATGCATGAAAACCATATTATTAAAACGGTATTATAGAAATATCACTAATAAGGTAAAGCTGTAGAAACAAGTGTGATAAACCTACCAATAAAACATAATTGTAGAAATACATGTAACGTTATGGCTAGTGATACCATTCTTTCACGTGCTGTTCACGTTCTTCCTCACGTAGTAGTTGTCCTAAAATAAATATTAATTGAGATAAAAATTGCAAATTAAAGTAGTTATAATGCTGTTCAATAGTAAATTCGAAAAAGAAACGAAAGGAAATATCTTACTGTTATAATATGCCTTAGTGAGTTACCCTTGAAAATTCAAGGGAAAAACAACTCCACAAATAATTTGGCACAATTTGAGTTGAAATACCCTTTACATGAATGGTCATTTTAAAAATAACTCCATGGAATCCTCAAATCCTTCAAACCCCTTTGATTTCGTATTAGAGGCACTAATATGAATATTTCGAAAATCTAAACGTAGATACTTATTTTGAACGATCCCCTAAATATTAATGCTAATGTTTATATGAATTAGTGCAGTCAATCTTAAGAATCTCACAAATTATTTTTAGAAATGCTTTACATGTTTATGCCAACTTTAATGTAAATCCTTGGATTCAGTCCCAAGAACAATCCCAACCCCTTTGAACCTCATATGGGAACTCAAATTTGAAAATTTTCAAAAATATTAATTTATACAATTGTTTAACAATAATTCTAAAATAAATCCATTTAGTCAAACCTGGGAGCCTCCATATCCTCTTGAACTCGCCTTCCTTCTCATAATTCCTTCGAAGACGTTTTATTTGTTTATATTCTGAAGAGTCAAGAGCCTACATGCCAAATTGCAAGTATCTTTGATAAAAAAGGAGTTTAAAATAAATTCAACATAGATGCGTATGCAGGCATAGTTGAGAACTATTGTGTACATGTTTCACGACTATGGCTAACATTTTAGGGAAATCTTTAAACATTAATTTATTAAATCAAATTGGTGGGGTTAGCTAATGCTTTATATAGTTATTTTGATTTATAGCTTATACTGACTGGAAACCTTTTTATTACATGCACACATTTGTTTCATCTTGGTTAATCTGTAAGGCAATGGGTAAGAGCAATGATCTCTCAGACCTTCAAAGGAGCACGCTAGTAGATGTCTGATTAGCAAAATCGTCTTCATCAAAGATCTTTTTTATTTTCTCAAAGTCTTTCGAAAGACAAATGCCGTCAGACGCTATTAACAGAACTAGTCACAACGAAATTCTTCTATCATCAGAGAAACTTTTCCGCCAATCGCTTGAGTTATCAAAGGAGAAAATAATTTGGTAGCTTGTAAAGTGCTACAAAAACAAACTGTGTCATAAGAATCTGATTTATAAGGTATTTTAGCTACTCTGGACATTTTGTGACGGACCTTACAACAAAATTATGTAATTAAATCTTCAATGCAAAAAACTCTAAGTTACTTTGACAATAGCGCGTTTTAATTGTTGTGTTTATATTATGTCTATCTTCATACCGTTTTAGATGAGGTTATTCATGAATGTATTCATCCAGGTTTACAAAATCATCTTATCTAGCTACCATATAGTCCATCAATATGGTTTTTTGTCCTTCGTTTTAATCTTTCAAGTGTTATTCGAAAGTTGAGTGATAGGTTACATTTTTTATATGATAAGCATGGTCAGAAAAGCAGAAATTAGAATTGTCTAAGTTATGAACAATAAATTCATCTAATTTACTTACCTGACTTTATATGTTAACAAGAAGTCTGCAGTCTGGTTTGATTATCTTAATACAAACTGGTTGGAATTAGAGATTAACTTAGAATACCTGAACATATTGTAGGAAAAACGATTCTGCGCGGTTAGTTGACCTGTTTTCTATAGTTTTATACCTACCCGTATTTCATGAGCAGAGAAAAAAGTAGGCCTTGTTGTCAACAGTTATTAACCGGGAAGTGACCATCATGCGGGAAAATTTAGCACTTCAATAACTAAACACCAGGAAAAGTAAGATTTAAAATAATACGACGGCCATTGTGTTGACTATTGCTAGGACTAAGTTGCGGGCTTACCTGCACATATTTTTTGTTTAACGTACGACTTTTTCTACCTGCATCGACAATAACTACAAAGAGTTCACTTATTGTTAACATTCATTCTTTTGTATTATATGATACTACATCTTACACTCTTTTATCAACAGCGATTACAACAGATATTGTCATCAAATTTATAAAAATTATCCTTGTTGTATTTAACATGTTCCCACGTTTTAACAACGATAACAACTTATATTGTTCCGTTATTTCAATAAAAATTATTTTTTATATTGTCTTTATTCAGTTCCTGAATGATAACAACATACATTGTTTCATTACTTCTATAATTTTAAGTTCGTCCTCAATGATAACAACATACATTGTTTCTTATAGAATTAATTGTTGTTATCATTGAGGACGAACATAAAATACATTGTTTCATTAATTCTATAATTTTATGTTCGTCCTCAATGATAACAACATACATTGTTTCATTAATTCTATAATTTTATGTTCGTCCTGAATGATAACAACATACATTGTTTCATTAATTCTATAGATTTAGTGTTCGTCTTCAATGGTAACAACATACATTGTTTCATTAATTCTATAATTTTATGTTCGTCCTCAATGATAACAACATACATTGTTTCATTAATTCTATAGATTTAGTGTTCGTTTGTTTCAAGCGCAAGGCTACACAATGGGCTCTCTGTACATTGTCCGTTGCGGGGAATCAAATACTGAATTTTAACATTACAAGGCCCTTAAGTTTACAGCTAAGCCACGCGGGGTCTAATTTTATAGAAATTAACATTGATGCTGTCTATATTCTGTTTCATGCATTTTAGAAATATTGACACGGTAACACCATTTATTGGTTCAATAGTTTTGTATAAATTGTCCTTGATATTAAAGTTTGGCCGCCGAAAACTAGAGAAGCATTTTACAGCAATCGGCCTAATACTTGAAATAAATCACTTAAATAAATATCCACAATCCATCGTGGATTTTATCCAAACATACTTATCCTTGAAGTTATTTTGATTATATTTCTTACCTTTCAACAATAAGTTACATTAGGGTTTTGCATCATTAACTTAGAACAATGTACTTCATATTAGTATTTTAACTATTACGTCTCAATAATGATTATATCAGATATTCTTTGAAATGAAAAAATCTAACAAAAATAAGCCCCCAGTGGTATGTCTACGGATTTACAACGCTAGAAACCGGGTTTCGATACCTGTGGTGGGCAGAGCACAAATAGTCCTTTGTGTAGCTTTGTGCTTAACTACAAACAACAACAACTAACCAAAATAAAAGCCCGCGTATGTCACGTCACGTCACGCTAGTAGGTAAATAGTTTACTATACATCGTTTTTTGGGCATCAGCACATTATTTCATTTGAACATCTGATACAGAGGATTTTTAAACGAAGTTAACAATATAAAACTAAGTTACAGACTTATAAATAAGGTCACGAAAGCGTTGCTTATTACAAATATGATACATCTGGTCAAACTCCGAAAAGCCAATTGGCACGTTCGCACTTCACCTTCATACAATGCAAGACATCTCTCCGTTTAACCATGACTTGTAGAGTTTTCAAGAGTACGTACTTTGCGAAATTCCAACTATCATCTTAATTGTAACATCTTTCACCAGATATACCTTAGAAAACAGGGTAGCTGCTTTAGAATTTCATTTGACAAGCCAAACTATCTTCTCTATTACTATCGCACTAGTATTCTGTGAGTGATTTACTTACAATTGTGGCGCAAGTTACCGTAATCGTTTGGTCTTCTTTTTTTTCTTCTCAATATACTCTGTTTCTTTTGTCAAAGTGCACTCAAGTTGATTTAATTACTTTAAAACCACACTTTGACGGAATAAATCCTTCTTCTCATCTCCTTTTCTACTGTTAGCCTTACTCTAACTTTGCTGTTATGTTAAACTTATATTAAAGTTTGTCTTCGTTACCCATTCAAGCCGTCTCCAAGCAATATTAATTGTTAGGCCTATCACTTCTACGGTACTTAACTTCACCCCGAACTCTTCCTTGCCTGTAACTTTACTCTCTTCTTCTATTGTCTGTAGGCTGTTTCTGCTCGTCTCTCACTATTTATATCTCTATCACTTAATTGTTTGCCCGCCTTCTAGAAATCTCTATATTTTCGACGTCAGTGTATTGCACGCGACGTTCGATATTCTCAACATTATTAACATAACTACCTACAGTTGTCTGCTTATAACTCTTATTATAACAAAAAAGTAAACATTAATAAAATGTTCACTCACAAAATAAATTAATAAATTATATCTAAACTAAACAGTATTTTATATCATGACAAACTGTAATTAAAGATCATTTGCCAAATATTTGTCCAACTTGCCAATTGACCCAAATCATTCTGTAATACCTCTATACTTTCAATACAGCTGGAAATATCCAAGAGTTTGATGCATTGGTAAACTTTACAACTTTACTAATTATATCCTTATCAGCATCATTGATATAAATAAGAAAAAACACAGGCCCAAGCAATGACACCTTAGACACTACAATAGTAACAGGGATTTAGATAATTGGAATCCTTTGATATCAACATCTTGCTTTCTCCCCTCCAACCACCATACAGTATAATTGATATATCTTTCCTAAGCTCCTAATGATATTTTCTTTGCTAATCTTTTGTGCAGCACATTATCAAAAGTTTTTTGAAGATCTTAAGTACACTAATTCCACACTTTTTACACTTTCCAAGTAACAAGCAACATTCTTAAAAATTATTAACATATTAGTAAGGTAAGATTTCTCTTTGCTTAATCTATGTTGGCCTTTCATTTGATATCATATTTCGCTAACTAATTTGATAAACATTTCCTACTACAGAAGTATGGCTAATTGGATTATAATTTCCAAAGTAACTATTATCAAAATAGGAGGAAAATCAGCAACTTTCCCACTGTTTGTTGACTTATTAAAAATGAGAAAAAGAAAGGCTCGCATATTTTAACTTAAAATTGCTTTAAATCCATTGAGAAAACTTTCTAAATTTTTCTACTCACCACAAAGGGATTAATATGTTCATGATTCACGATCCAGATCCATTCCAATATTTCCCATAGAATGCTTGGTGCTAATATCTTCTCTTCTAAAAACAGAAGAGAACATATATATATATATAAAGTTCAGCCATCTCTCTCATACAATTCAATAAGAGCATTTCCATCTGCATCCTTTAAGGGCTCAGTCGCCATTTTGGTATTTTCATTATCTTTAACACTTAAAAATCCTTGCTGCTATTTTACCATTATCAGTTAGTTATTTCTAATGAGATCTTTTTGGGTTTCTCATTTCATTTTTAACCAATTCTTAGATTTCTGAAAGTTTTATGAATTTCCAACTTATCTGCTAATTTGAAATTATTGTTTTTAAGTTATTTATCCAGTATTTTTCCATTTCTGTCTTCCCCGAGCACCTTTTCCATATGAATTTTACTACGTTCATGACAGCATAACTAACAATTAAAATGTTTCTTTGGTAAATTCCTGATAGATTGTGATATAGATTGCATTTCTGTTAGTGTCTCGATGGATCGTATAACAGTTGAAACAGTGGTAGGGTAAAATCGATTGTGAAACAGTTTAATCATCATTAGGGTAGGTATCAACCATAGGACCACTTAGGCATTGCTGTGGACGGGGAGGGGGTAACGCCAACTGTGTTAAATATACTTTGCTTGGATCAAGACAGCGTCTCGATAGATTGTTCAAAGTCTTTTATGAAGTTACGCAAAACTAAATCTGGTATCGTGAATTAAAATACTCCGCTGTTTGTTTACGTGCTTATAATGTAGTTCTAATAAAACGTTTCAACAGAAGTGATATTATAGGTCGTTTTTATTTTCAATCATATTACATTTGTGCTCTTTGATGCTTTATATTACCAAACATAAATCAAAGTTTCTTCTTTCATGTATATTTCATAACGTTATCAGTTACACTTTCTGAAGAATATTTATGACAAATCTAGTTTGAAAACTTAAATTACATATTATAAGTTTTTTTTTATTAAACTTAATTAAAACTATTTTCCCTATTACATGATATCAAAAATAGTAAAATTTGATGTTGTAGTCAACAGATTGCTGAGATAATACACAAATTAGGTAGTTATACAGGCCCCTCTATGGCGGTGAGACGCAGGTTTACAACGCTAAAACTCAGATTTAGATACCCATGGTGGGCAGAGCACAGGTAGCCGATTGTGTAATTTTGCGCTTAACAACAGCCAAACCAAATCAGTTATACAAATAATTGAAAAATACTTTTAATAGAAAAATGCAATGTGGTAGTTTATGTAATTTGGTATTATTTTATATATTCCTGATAGCAAAGCTCTTGAGAACAACAAGTTAAAACATAGGTAAGTAACATAGACGCGCGAGTAAGTTTAAAATGGAGAATTTCCAAAACAAGGCAGATCCAAATGGTGTCAAAGGGACCCTTTCTTATAAGTTTGTTTTTTGTAAACAAGAAGAAGAAAAATTGCTATCTTGGAATAACATACTAGTATAGACTTCATTAATGCATATACATGCACCTTTTATTTTATTTGTTTTTTGTTAAGCTACATAATAGGCTGTTTGTACTCTGCCTACTTTGGTATCGCTGAGCCACCTGGAGGCGTGCGGGTACAAAAAAAGTTGCATATGATTGATACTGACCTTGAATGTTATTAAAAATATTTTCAGACATATTTCCGATCTAAAATTATTACTTGAAACGAATAAAAATATTCTCGTTAAAAATATATATTAAAATTTTGAGCTCTAGCATGGGGGTTTTGGGCGCCACGAATGTTGCAAACGTGATATGCAAGAAGAAAATAGGATTAAGATTGAAAATTTACAACTATTCGTTATTCAACTATTAGTAAAACAATACAATCCATAATTCTTTTCAGATTAAATTAGAAGACACCATGGTATAATTTATTGTAAAGGCCAAATTGAATTGCATTACATAAACACATATATATATATATAACCGCAGTATATTGGTTTGATGACAGCTTTAACCACTGCATATTAAAGGTGTCCCTTAGCAACAGTTTCCACTGGCGGTTCCTAGATGAGTTTTGCAAACTGGACAGTAATGTTCCGTGTCTCTGATGGAATCCGAAATTAGGGGGATCCAAAAGAGAGGCCAGCTGTGGATAAAGTATATGTTTTCGTAAAAAAAAAGAAATATGATAAATAAATTTCATCTAAATTTAAAAACCAAGAATATCCAAAATATAGCCAAAAGCTGATACAAAATCCCAAATAGGTAGTCTGGTGAAAGTATAGAAAGAATAGGACCTAAATTTCTTTAATTATATAAAGAGTACTATATAAACAATGTATTTTCTTCACATCAAATAACACTTCACATTAAACATTGGCTAGTCTGCACGTTAATCTATTGTTTAACATCACAAATGATTCCGTCTTTACGTCAGTTTTTAATTTCTTTTATCAACGAATATCTTGTCTCTATGTCAAAGAATGAAAAAAAAATCACAAATCATACTTATTTGACAATATATATATATATTATAAATAGTATTAATGGTAATAAGCCTATGCAACATTTACGACCTGAAATAAAATCAAATGAAATACATTTTTATAACCAATGTCTGTAAATCGTAATACATAGTTCAATTTATCTTTTATTTAACTAAAAACAGAAAAAGATAATTTTTTTATAAAAGTAACAGTCTATTCAAAAAATAACCTTATATTTTTTGTTACTTACTAAGCAAGTTACTACAATATTTATAGCTGTCAGCTGATTTCAGCCAAATGCTTGGTCCACTGTATTTAACGTGAGATCTAATCTTATATATGGAATATAAAGTTTTGGTAAATTACGTGTGTGGTTTGAATATATATATAAGATAACTAGAAAAAAAATCTTATGTGACACATCATTCAACCCTTATACGTATACAGTTAAAAGTTCACTGTGTACCGATGCTCTAAAAGTGTTGTTGTTTGTAGTTAAGTACAAAGCTACACAATGGGCTGTCTGTGCTCTGCCCATCACGGGTATCGAAACCCGGTTTCTAGCGTTATAAGTCTGAAGACATACCGCTGTGCCACTGGGGGACACTCTAATAGTGATAAAATGTTTTTAATAAAAGGTTGTGTACAATATTTTTTAACATCACAGCAGTGGTTAGCTTTTAGAAGTGCTCCAAAATGATTCATTAAAACCTCACAGTAATTCAGATAGTGAAGCACTAGAGAACGATTCATCGTTCTTATAGATTACTGAAGCAACGTATCTTTATAGAGAGTATGACCATCTATTAACAAATTATTTAAATAATTATACATTTCTGCCAAAGTTTAACAATCATGAGTTTATTTTTTTAACATTTAGAGAAAGTTTGTTTGTAGCTAGACAAACATATATTATTTTGAATTATTTCATGCAACCTAAATAAGTCATTCTGCGCAGTAAATAGAGTAGCATTATCTGCAAACACTAGGAAATTTCATAAAAGATTGGTTTGTTTCGAATTTCGTGCAAAGCTACACGAGGGCTATCTGCACTAGCCATCCCTAATTTAGCAGTGTAAGACTAGAGGGGAGGCAGCTAGTTATTACCACCCACCGCCAACTCTTGGGCTACTCTTTTACCAACGAATGGTAGGATTGACCATCACTTTATAACGCTCCCCCGGCTGAGAGGGCTGAGCATGTTTGGTGAGACGGGGATTGAAACCCGCGACCATCAGATTACGAGTCGAGCGCCCACTTGGCCATGCCGGACCTGATGTTTCATAAAAGAAGCATTATTGACCAGATTAGTTATATATATAAGCTAAATAAGATTGAACCTAAAACAGAGCCAAAAACAAATAGAGAAATAATAATTATATTGTTACTTTTACAAAAACCAAACAGTCCAGAAGCTACAATTCTTTCGAATATTCTATTGAATACACTTAACCATGAAACAGGTTGGATATTTATACAGGTATAGCCTTATTTAACTTTTGCAATATTTTAACTTTGCATAGATGTCTTCTCAACAACTTAGAGATGCGTGTCCTGCCTTTTCATCACATTAAATAGCTTTGTTTTGAAATTATATTAGAAAGTTCTTGTTTCACACGATACATGTCTTTCTTCCACCTTAGAAAGGTTTTATCTGCACTTCTAATATTGTCTTGTTTTACCCCAAGCAAATTCATTTCACCTAATACAATATTTTATCTTTTCGACAATATATTGTTTTCAAATAATGTACTTTTCCTGTATTTGTTATGTTAAGTAATTTTTTATGCAAATCAGTATTTTTTATTATATATATTATGTTTTTGTTTTGTTTTTGAAGTTAAGCACAAAGCTACACAATGGGCTATATGTGCTCTGCCCACCACGGGTATCGAAACCCGGATTCTAGCGTTGTAAGTCCGCAGACATACTGCTGTGCTACTGGGGGGCGTATATTATGCATCTTTATATAAAAACAACGTATACTTTTCACATTGAAGTTCTGTTATGAAGTCAGATAAAGATTTCTTCACATCAAATAGTTTCATGCATTTTTATTTTCTCCATACAATGTTTGTCTTACATCATAAAGTGTATTATTTTATTTCAAGGAACATCCGTTCTTTAGATGTATAAAAAAATCCGTTCTTGACATCAAACAAATTATTGTCTTCCCCTCAAAAATGTGTTCCTTTATTATCATCACATATTTTATTTTTTACATGAAATAATGTTTTATCTTGGAACAAGTTCTTGTTTTCATCATATAAATTTCTATTCTGTATATTAATCTGTATGCTGTTTTCAATAAAAATAATTCTGTCCTTGCATTTAATGGTTTGTTTTTACGGCAAAGAATGAAATTTCCTTACAAGAAGTAGTGTTTTAGCATCAGATAACTTGTTTTTATATCATACAAATGTATTGTTTTTATTCCAATACCTTCTTCCATTTCAAATAAGGTATTGCTTTAGGTCAAATAATGTCTTGATTTTACATTAAATAAAGTTTAGTATTCACAGTAAGATACGAAAAAGTCCTTTATTCAGTTAACTTAGGTCATTAATACTTTCTTAAGACAGTGAAATACCTAACAGTCTTTCGTTTAGTCAGCTTTGGTGTTTAATATGTTCTGAATACAATCAAATACGAAAATCTTTCAGTTAGGTAAGATCTTTACTATGCTCTTAAGACGGTTAAATACAAAACAGTCCCTCTTTCAGTTAGTTTAGGTCTTTACTCTGTTTCCAGACAGTGAAATATGGAATAGTCCTTCTTCCAGTTAGTTTGGGTCTTTACTCTGTCCTGAGACAGTTAAATACGAAACAGTCCTTCTTCCAATTAGTTTAGGTCTTTACTCTGTTTCCAGACAGTGAAATATGGAATAGTCCTTCTTCCAGTTAGTTTGGGTCTTTACTCTGTCCTGAGACAGTTAAATACGAAACAGTCCTTCTTCCAGTTAGTTTAGGTCTTTACTATGTTCTCAAGAAAGTGAAATACGAAACTGCTCTTTTTTCAATTAGCATAGGTTTTCACTCTGTTTTTAAGATGGCGAAATACGAAGTAATTCTTTTCGTTAGTTTAGATCTTTAGCAAATTCTAATGATAGTGGTATATGATATACTTTGTTTTTTTTAATTTAAAGTTTTACTACGATCAAGGGCAATGAAGTGGGAGAAAGTCCGTGTGTTTTTATTTTCGCTTTTCGTATGTTCCAATAACAGTGAAATATAATCCACTCCATTTTTTCTTTTAGCATAGGTGTACTGTATATTCCCATAATAGTGCAGAATTAATTTTTTTTTTATTAGTGAACATTTTTAGTATTTTTTCATGACTGAGAAATATGAGACAGTTCTTTTTTAAGTTACCTAGGGTATTCAAGACGTTCCAATAATAATAATAAAATATGAAACAGACCTTACTTCTGTAAGGTTTAGATTTCAGCGTGCTCCAAACGTAATAAATTATAATAGTTATGGATTTTCTTATCTCAGTTCTTTAACATAGCCTAAAATAATGTAATATGATAAAGATATTGTTTCTATTAGCTTACATCTTTACAATATTGCTTGTTATATCGAACAAGGAGAATCCAAATTTTCGTTAAAGTCAGTCTTTTTTTTTCATGAAAAAAAAGAGAGAATCCTCATTTCATTCAAGTACTTAGTATGCTACTGTGATAGTGAAAGTAAGTCTGTCCTTTCTTTTTTGCTTTAAGTCTTTAATATATTGCTTATTTGTGTGACGAAAATATACTACTTATTATGTGGTACCTGATGATGACAAAACCTTGTCGAAACGTTGTACATTTGCTGTTATATTAAAGTTTTTCTTCATTACCCATTCAAGCCGTCTCCAGCCATTATTACTTATTTTGTATTTAGCTTGTCTCAATGACCGAAATGTGAGACAGTCCTAGTGTCTTTATAAAATGTTCTCGTGACAGAAACACTTGTGTTCTACTAGGTCTTTAGTTTACTTTCAATGAAATATCGGATAATTATTGTATATATATATTATTTTACAAACTTACCAGAACAAACACAAACATATCATCCAGCAGCAGGCAGCTCCCCCTACTCCACGTTCTACAGTGGTGATCACTGTATTACGGCAGGTTCCACAAGTAATCTGTGTAGGTGCATTTCCAAAAGCCATAACCACTGTTTGTTGTTGTGCTGGATGACTCATCCCAGTGACGACAACAGTAGTCGAACTTGGCACTGTATAAAAGTTTTATATAAAAACAAAAAGATAAATCTTTTATGCAAAAACTTAGTTGTTACCTCGTAATAAAAGTTTTTGAAAGCCTGATAAAAGATGCTTTGCAAAGCCATTTAACAAAGTTTAAAGTATTGTTTGAAAATCAACATGGTTTTATTATGGAAAAAGCTTCCCTTTCTAATCTATGGCATTCTTTGAATAAGTTACTGCTTATGTAAATGAGGGTACAGGTGTGTGGATTTGGTGTATCAGGATTATCAGAAAGCATTTGACAAGGTATTACATAAAAGGATTATTAAAATTATCTCTGTAGATGTGGAGAATAAGTTCGCTCATTAGAAAAAAAATTGGCTGGAAAGAACAAAGCAGAGGATTGTTATAAATGGAGTTCAGTAAAACTTAATTAATATCACAACTAGGGTACCTCAGAGGTCAGTATTGAACACTGGCTCTTTTTGCTTTACATCAATGGCATAGATGAAGGAATGGTCACTAAATTATTTAAATATGCTGATGATATTAAGCTTTTGAGTGTTGCTAGCTGTGAGAAGGATGCTGCTGCTTTACACAATGACTTAGATTACTTGGTGGGTTGGACAAATAAACGGCAGATGGCTTTTAATTTTAATAAATGCAATTTAATGCATATGGTATATCAAAATTTGAATTATGAGTATAAATAATCTTGATGGGAATAACCTTGAAAGTGTTATGGAAGAAAATGATCCTGGTGTTCTAATTGAACAGTTTCTTAAGCCATCCAAGAAGTGTGTTATTGCTAGTGGTAAGATTGGGTTGTGTTTAGAGAAATATTGAATACAAGTCTAAAGAGGTTATAATATCTTTGTACAGGTCATTGGTTAGGCCACATTTGGAGTAGTGTGTTCAGTCTTGGGTGTCTTATATTAGGAAGAACATTGAAATGTTGGAAATGGTTCAGAGGGCTACAAGGATGACACTTCAGAAGTTTTCACATGAGAACAAGTTAAGATCTCTGAAAATGTTTACTCTTGATAAAAGGAAAGTTAGAGGGGATCTGAACGAGGTGTTTAATACTGTTAAGGGAATTAATAGTGATGGTGCACTATCGTTTTTAATACTTAATAGTGAGAACGATAGGGCTTAGGAACATAAATATCAATTTTGGCAGGGTAAGAGTTACCCCAAGCTAAAACAGTTTAAAATTTTTCTAACACAATGTGGTTAGTCTCTGAAACGAGTTGCCTTAATATATGATGGGTGCAGTTAATTTATCGGAGTTTAAGGGAATACTAGATAAATATTTGAATGCTAAGAACTGGCTTTAAGTAGTTTAGTTAAATTTTAAAGTTTATTTTAGTGTATTGGTGTAACGAATTTGTTATTATATATTTATTTTAATATCGACGTTGTTTAGATTACGTTTATATTTAAAAACATGCATAGCTTATAGTGTTAGATATGTATCGCGAAACTCTACCCCCCCAGTGGCACAGCGGTATGTCTGCGGACTTACACTGC